TCAATCCAAGAATGGATTAATAAAATGTGGTATGTGTATACCATGGAGTACTATTCAGCTCTAAAAAACAATGGTGACATAGCACATCTTATATTTTCCTGGTTAGAGCTGGAGCCCATACTACTAAGTGAAGTATCCCAAGAATGGAAAAACAAGCACCAGATATATTCTCCGGCAAACTGGTATTAACTGAGCAGCACCTAAGTGGACACATAGGTACTACAGTAATAGGGTATTGGGCAGGGGGGAGGGGGTGGGTATATACATACATAATGAGTGAGATGTGCACCATCTGGGGGATGGTCATGATGGAGACTCAGACTTGTGGGGGGAGGGGGGAAATGGGCATTTATTGAAATCTTAAAATCTGTACCCCCATAATATGCCGGAAAAAAAAAAGTCATGCTGGAGGAATCCTGCTTTCGTGATTAGTCTCAGGACATCCGGTCCTCTGTAACCAAGATATTTTCATGTCTCCACAGCCAGCCCAGAGGAACAGAGCTTCGCTGATCTGGTTTCAATAAATCCTGTTAACCAAGAATTCTATAGAACAGCTGTTTTTTACTTGTCCTTGTTAATGTATGGATGATTCTTTATTTCAAAGGTAGTGTGATTTTGGCAGTTATGGTGTGTGTTCAGCGCTAAGCATTTCGAAATCGCTCCGATTTTGCAAAATGTTAGCATTTAAAAAGAAATTCCTGGCTTGCTTTCAGAAAGATCTGAAGGGCTGATTGAAGGTGAAGAGTAAGATGATACTTAAAATCAGGGTAAGGAAATCGACCAACAGGGTTTTCAGTTAGAGAGAAAAAAACAAACAAAATAAATCAAGTTCTTGTTGCTAATACCTTGCTTAGTACAATGTAGTGGTAAGTCTTCTGTTACATTAAATTAGAATATAACTAGAAAATCTGGATGTCAGGTCAGTTGAGTAAATGAGGTATTCTCTGCACTGACTTCTTAAAGAAGAGAATATTATTTTGTCTGCAACAACCCAACAGGTTTTTCTTTTTAAGTTTTAAAATAGAATACATCGGTGCTCAGCACTCAAACTAGCACAGTGCTTGTGATGAATACAATATGTATAAATCATAGATAATGTCTGTTAGTTGACTAGTGTTCAACAGAGATTATCCAATGAGAACTTCTGGTTTTTAAACTGAACTGGCACCTAATATTTGTCCCAATAAGTGCCTTGGTTAATAGCTCTGAGGCTATTCAATTCATTGTTTTTCAACAGAAATGCCACATCTACTGATTTCCTGATTGCTGATAGACACAAGTTTTTTTCGTGTGTTTTTTTTTTAACAAGTATATGCACCAGGAAATGAAATAAGATTACTACATGCTGTGCTAAGGAAAACTACTAAAAGTGAAAGAAATATAGTATTTTTAGATAAGACTGTTTCCTGAATCTTTAAGGGTATCCTACAAATTTGCCCACCATGTGTTAGAATATGAACATTTCTGGCCTGTATTTCTTCCTATTGTAGAAAATGCTACTTATCTACCTCTCCCCTAGTCATTTTCCTTCAGCAATGCTAACCAAACCCAACTTGTCATTGTAAAGTTCAAAAAGACAAGGAAGTGAGCAATTCTATCAACTGGAAAGAAAAGAGAGTTATATAAGAATAAGCCTTCAGGGATCTGCTGAGCAAAAAGCAAGCCCAAAAGAAGGAACAGAAGAGTCTGGAAGTTTCACAAGAGCAGTGATGATTTTAGGTTGTCTTCATGTAGTTCTCTTTCTGCTAAAGTGTATCAGCACTTCTGACTTCTCTCTTTTGTAAAAATAACCCCTGTTCTCTTGTACTTCAAAAGCAATCGTGCTCCCATAATTTGTAGATAGTCATTGAAATGTAAATATCAGATGATAGCTTCACGGGGGGAAATAGTTTTTTGGGAAGTTATAGATTCAGAACCTTTCCGGCTATGAGAGAGTTACTTAGCTTTTGTGTGTGACTGTTAATTTAAAAGGTTATTTGATCCTAGATGCTAAACTAGCTTAAGAGTTCGGCCTGGACCACCTTGTGTTATATATATATAAAAGGCTTCTTCAGCATTCTGTATGTTCTTTTTTTTGAGACAGAGTCTCACTTTGTTGCCCAGGCTAGAGTGAGTGCCATGGCGTCAGCCTAGCTCACAGCAACCTCAAACTCCTGGGCTCAAGCGATCCTCCTGCCTCAGCCTCCTGAGTAGCTGGGACTACAGGCATGCGCCACCATGCCCGGCTAATTTTTTGTATATATATTAGTTGGCCAATTAATTTCTTTCTATTTATAGTAGAGACGGGGTCTCACTCCTGCTCAGGCTGGTTTCGAACTCCTGATCTCGAGCAATCCTCCCGCCTCGGCCTCCCAGAGTGCTAGGATTACAGGCGTGAGCCACCACGCCCGGCCTCGTTCCGTATGTTCTAAGCTGATGTGTTACTGATGTTGTTTAAGAAAACACATCACATTTACAGGAAGCGTCTACAAGTCAAAGCCACCCAGCTAAACACAATTAAGGCTGTCTAGTGATGCATTAATCACTAATATAACAAAAATAACATTCTATAATAATGTATAAGTGTATTTATATACATTTGTAGGTATTTATTTACATAAATTATATAAGCTGTGAGAATGGGATGTCTCAGATGACTAATGTTCAGCCACCAAACCAAATGTGGTCAACTTGAATGTGTTGGGATCTTCCCAGAAGTAGATGACAGCAAGGAATTTAGAATGACTTCTCTTGTTCCAAAAACTCTAGGCCACTCAAGCACACTGTTTTCTCTAGCCCCACGAAGAGGGCATAGCTAACCACAGGCCTGCTACAGAAAACGAGTGTTTGTCAGAAACTCTCATGGAATAGACTACTTCCGCCTTCCATGGTGAGGGATTTAGGCTATGAGATAAACTGACCTTTTGGATAAAAGGTGTCTGACCTCTCCTTCCCCTGGCAGTGATTTCTCTCCCCTGACAGCTGCCCTTACAAACAAACTGCTAGGTAGCACTTTGACAAATGAAGCTCGGCCAGGATCCTTTGTTTCTCTGAATCCGGCCAACAAGCTGGTATTCCAGAAGCTCCTTAGGGGGCCATGCATTACTGGGAGGCCAGGCCTGAGCTTCCTCCTCCCCCGGGATCCCTGTGGCCACAGGTTCCCATGATCCGTGGGGCCAGATGACACTGTTCCCAGTTCGCATTCCACCCTGGCAGGGCACTCTCAAAATAAATAATCTTTACAGCAGAGTTCAGAGCTGGGGAAGAAACGGGGGAGAAAAACGTATCTTCGGAGTAAGTAGAAGAGACACTGGAATCCAATGGATTTGTGGTTTTTAAACCATTTTTTTTCCCCCAGGGGACTCCAGAAATCTTTATAAGTAGACGGAGACTTGCACTTATCAAAATCCCAAATTCCAATGCCAAATGAAGGTCATAAAAAAGTGACAAAGAAAAATATATATATAACAAAGTATAGTTTCTATAACCTGAAAACATTCTCATTCAACAAATTCAGTCGATGGTTACTGGCCACCTAGAAAGTTCAAGGTCTTTACAGTTAATGTCCATTTAAAAATTTGATGATTTCTTCTTTATGCCAAGAACTTGGGAAACCCAAATAAAGGGGGCCTTTAAAAGGGACGTTTAGATTGGTGTCAGCAAACTACAACCCACTGGACAAATCCGGTTCTCTGCTTGTTTGTATACGGCCTGTGAACTAAGAGTGGCTTTTGCATTTCTAAACAGTGGGGATAAAAATCAAAAGGAGGATATTATTTCGAGATACATGAACATTTATATGACATTCGAATTTCCATGTCCATACATGAAGTATTATTGGAACACGATTGCACTCATCCATTTACCTCTCAGCTGGGGCTGTCACTTAGAAAGGGGCAGGTGAGTCGCTGTAACGGAGACTGGATGGCCTGCAAAACCCAAGACATTGACCGTCTGGCCCTTTACAGAAAAAAAGTCTGCCAGCCCCTGTGTTATACGGACAAGTATAGGTGCCACCGATGGAAGTGGTTGATGCTGCATCTATAAATCAAATTCCTCAAAGCACAGGACAACACACAAGGTTTTAGATAGAGCAGAGGTATAATTTGTGTTTCCTTTTAATACCAATTTGCTAATTTCCTGTTGATAGGCCAGAACTCCAGGCCTTGACACTTGGCTTTCCTGGAAACGTGGTTTGCTCTTTTGGCCTCTGGACCCTGATTTTAAAGAATGGGCTGTCCCGGACTTTTTTTTTTTTTTTTTTTAAGAGGAGTTTGATCAAACAGATGCCCAGGACTCTAACACCTGTCTTGGAGTAGACAGTCCTGCTGGTGGATGGCTACTCCCTCCGCTCTGTGCAGGTTATGACGATCAGCAGAGATTTTGAGGCGATTTCAGCTATATTGGTCAACGCACAGCGCTTTAAGGAAGTGACTGACAAGATTCGAGTTTGCAGTTTTACAGGGTGATCAAAGCCATTCCCAGGTTCCCTGTAGTTAAGTCTGTTTATGTTTTCCCAACGCAATATCCTAAGAAGGGAAAGTGGAGGTGGGATATTTATGTTGTAACACTTTCAGGAAAGGAATCTCCCATCAAGATGGCATTTTGTCCCTTGAGTGGCAGGGATTAAATTGAGAGGAAAAGAAGGTGTCCCCATACTCGTTAGGACTGTCAGGTCATCTGCAACCATAATTCACACCACAGAGGGGATTCCCGGCTCCATGAGACACCTGAGCAACCTGTGAACAAACCTCAGGACAGTGGCCACGTGTGACACTGGGCTCTGATCTCAGTTTTTCAGTAACCTCTGAGCTTTTCATATAGCATAGAATATTCTCCGTGCTATTACTATGTTTTCTCTATCTGCCTCAATTTATAAGTTGAGAGTTGGATCTCATCCTTAATATTTAATATTAATAAAGTGTCCTTCTACAAGTGACAGGCAGAATCGTTTCTTTTAATAGAAAAGCAAGGCATTACATTTCTAAGCAAAAACAAAAAGAAAACTTTTGGAAACTCACCTAGAAAAATCTCCCTTTGCCTCCTGTAGAAGAAAAAAATTCAACATCAGTGAAACCCACTAAGCCAGACTTTAAAACACATTCTATAATCGTGATATTTCCTCTACAGGGTAAGTTCAGCTTCCTACTGCTGACATCCTATTTGCTATAGGTGTATAGCAAATGAGAAGAGATGCATGCATTTGTCGTTTGAATATGACACGTGACATTAAACTTTAGAAAGTTATATACAAAGCAATTGATTCATATTGACAAAAGGCCACATCTCCAACGGTAAGCCCTAGTCTAACTTGTTTTAGCTTAAAGATTCTGAATCTGAATGTGTGCTAGCATAGAACTATCTATTTCTTCTGTCATTCTTTGTTTTGCTTTGTATTGTAGGCTATTTCCCAATCATACTGAAGACTTTGGAGGCAGAAACAATGTAAACGTTGGTGAATCTAGCACAGTCCTTTGAACAAAGGAGTTGTTCAAGAAATACTTATTGAAGGAATAAATGATATCATTTCAACTCATCTTGTCGTTGCTCCAGTAATATACTGCAACATCTTTTCTATATAAGTGAAAGAGCTTTTGCTCGTTTTTTTAAAGGGGCACAAGGTGATTCTTTGGCCAACTAACTCTAGCTCTTTACTTGGCCTTCCCCAGGTTGGAGGCACCAAACCCTCCCAGAATGGAGTGATCTCAGTTTTTTCCAGGCTCAGGTGAAATATACAACTTTCTTTTCCAGAGAAATGCTATCTTTTTAAAATTTTGCAATCCTAGAAGCTCCTATTCATGGCTATGGTATCAGTGTCCCTAAAAGCTCTTTGCAGCTTGTGGCTGGGCAAAGTTAAGACGACAAATAGTTATTGGATAGAGCCACTGGGCTGGCCGTGCGTGCTAAGTCTCATTTCCTCACTCTTCTTCTGTCTATGGCCCTGGGGTACGCAGGTGAGGGGAGAACTTACCTGTAAAATATAGGAAGCTAATTCAAACACCACTTCACTGTCAACGTCAATAAGCTCCTGAAAGGAAAAACCAACAAGGAAGACAAGATTGGTATTTAACAACCACTTTTTTTTTTTTTTTAATTTAAATGACAGCTCTCTAAAAAAGAGGCCTGGTTTTCCTTTTTTTGAGGAGTGCCCCAGAATGTCAAATACTCATAGAAGATTTTGGGTCCCTGTAGCCACTGTGCTGAATTACTTGTTCGCAAATGCTTCCAGACAATGTTTTACAGCCCTTAGCCCAACTGGACTCATGATCTGGGCCTCATCTTTCAATCTTGATGAGCAATGAAGGGGTGGACCAGGCCTCAGCTTTTTACAAACCTGTTTGTCTTATTAATCCTGCAGGAGGGTTACTTGATAACCAATTGTGTTTTCTTTGTAAACTCGACTTCAGAACTAGCAGCAAGACTTTAACTGAAAGAAATTCTACAATGGGATTATGGCTCTTTCGATTAAAATTAAACAAAATCTTTTTTATTTTTTTTTGAGACAGGGTCTCACTCTGTTGCCCAGGCTAGAGTGAGTGCCATGGCGTCAGCCTAGCTCACAGCAACCTCCAACTCCCGGGCTCAAGCAATCCTCCTGCCTCAGCCTCCCGAGTAGCTGGGACTACAGGCATGTGCCACCATGGCCGGCTAATTTTTTCTATATATATTTTAGTTGGCCAATTAATTTCTTTCTATTTATAGTAGAGACGGGGTCTCACTCTTGCTCAGGCTGGTTTCGAACTCCTGACCTCGAGCAATCTTCCCGCCCCGGCCTCCCAGAGTGCTAGGATTACAGGCGTGAGCCACCGCGCCAGGCCCAAACAAAATCTTAAAATATTGTTCTTTGGTCGGACTAGCCACATACCTTTCATGTGCTCAATAGTTCACTGCAGCTAGTGGCTACCATGTTGTTAGCACATAGAAACCTCTGTTGGTTAGCACTTTTATAGAGTCTAATTTAAAAATGCATCTGCCCTATTAGTTCTTCCCCCAAATACTTAATTGTCATTGAAGGACATGGTCTTAAAAGAACTGAAACCTCTCCTTGGTTTTTGAAAAAAAAAAAATCCATTTTTTTTTCCAAAATGTATAGAGTTCCTATCCTTTTCTTAAACAGATTTATTGAGGTATAATTGAAACACCCTGAAACACTGCATGTGTATAATGTACACAGCATGATGAGTTTGGACATATGTGTGTACCCGTGATACCATTATCACAGTCAAGGTAATAAACACGTCCATCACCTCCAAGGATTTCCTCGTGTTTTCATTTTTTTCATGGCGAAAACACTTAACATGATCTACTCTCTTAATAAACTTTTCAAGTGCATGATACTGTGTAGTTATATAGAGCCCATATGTTAAAGACAAAGAGAAACCTGGAATTTATCAGCAAGAATAATAAATTAATTAGCACCATATTTCTGTTGTCAAGCTAAAGTAAAAATGTCCATCTTTATTTCCCTAATATCACTAGATCCTATGGTGGCTGACAAGATGACAGAGATTTAGAGACCAGCTAGCCTGACCCTGTGCTTTTATTGAGAACAGAAATCCCAAAACATTAAGGGACTTGCCCCAAACCCCAGGGCCTTAATGGCAGTTATATGGCCAGGAACAAACCAAACAACTACGTGCCCGGTACGGGGCCTCCTTTAGTGTCTGAATTCGCTCAAGTCAGTAACGACTCAGTTTCAGCCAACATATTCTCAGAACAATATCTATAACCAAAATTAGCTGTAAAAGAGTCACTATGCACTTGCCTTATACACTGAACTCTGATTCATGGATTTTCTAATCATTTCGGAGGAGTCAAGAACAGGCCCTTTATAATTTAAAACAATGCATTCAAACATGCATCTGTTGAAGGAGGGATACCTTTCAGGCCTGCGAATTTCACAGATGGATACTACTACTTGCTACTGAACCACCTTAGACGCACGGGCTGAGAGGACTAACGGGAGCACACGGCAGAGCCGGGGACGATCATGCTTTATGCTCAAGCAGCTGAAAGAGCTTTATACAGCCACCGTGATGGATACAGACTGTCAGTGCTGGGACGGGAAGGAACGTTTGGAATTGCAGTCCTGGGATTACCACGTCCCATCAGAATGTAAATCATGTAACAGTGTACAAACGACTTAACAGGAACACTGACCAGGGCTTCCACGATAGATCATCTGCACTCTCACTTATGTTTGTTTCCAATCCCACCTGAGGGCGTTGGCATGCACTCGTTAGCATGTCGCCGTGTGTATGTGCTTTCCCGTCAAACATTTACGTCTATGTCGCTGCCAATGGTCAACGGCGGGCTAATATTTAACATCCGCCATCTAATCTGCAACTGAACACCAACCACCAGAAAAGAACCCTTTGAAGTGGGAACATAGCTTTTAATTCGCTATTTGATTCCTCTGCTACATGAAAATGTCTCTATCTGTGTAGGGGATGGGGGGAAGGAGGAAAGTCTTTTATTTTATTTTTACACAATCCATTCCATGCTGCTGGGAGGTAGTGTTCTTGAATATTAACTGTAATGTACTATTATTCACAGGAATGCTACCAAAAACGCACCATTAAATGCCTAACCTGATGGACCCAAGTTATCTCTCTTCCCTCAGGGTAAATAGGAAATAGCACCTTTAACTGGGGTGAGTTTTCACCTTCCCTGACCTTGACAATCTCCCAGTGAAGACATTAAAAACAGCAAGAGTTGAAATGTAGCCAGTAAGAGGGAAAAAAGAAAGGATTAAAGAATGATGTACCCCAGACAATGCACACACTTGCAAAGTCTGATGGAAAGAGAGCTGTATCATTATGTCTCACCACTCCTAGTTAATATTTATTGAGTTCAAGGATCACCTCATTGGATGTCCTCAGAGGACTCAACACAGCCATCTGACAGGTGTGTATATGAAGCAATCTAGAAATGGTGGGAAGACATATCCCTAATTGTTAGGAAGACTTCTGCCTCCTGGCAGTCTTGGCCTGATTCCCTGATGTCTCTTTTACTTTTCCCCCTTTTATTAATATTTATACCAGGGGTCCTCAAACTTTTTAAACAGGGGGCCAGTTCACTGTCCCTCAGACCACTGGAGAGAGCGGCGCACACTCCACACATGCGCACTGTGGGCCCGGGACGAGTCGGCTGCTAAGCAGGACAGGCAGCGGCGGCAAAAACACCCGGCAGGCTGGATAAATGTCCTCTGAGGGCCGCATGTGGCCTGAGGGCTGTAGTTTGAGGACGCCTGATTTATACCTTGCCCACCGAGGTGATTTCATGCTTAAGATTACACCGTGACCACACATGGCCCAGACCTTTGGCCACTCCTCAAATTGCCCACTGAACTTCAAAACCTGGAAGCCGACTGCCCCTTGGAGGAGTTACGACGAGATGTTTCCAGGGATCTTCCTGTGCAAAATGTGCTCCCATATAGTATCAAAACTAACTCCACCTTTGCCTCTTTTGACTTCCCTGGCTACCCCAGAGGTGGCTTCTTTTGTGAGTTTCTGCTCAAGCAGAGGAAATAAACAGAAGGAAACCCACAAAGGGTGCGTGCAAAAAATCCCACCCTTTCCCGGAGCTTTGTGTTTCTCTTTAACTGAGGACAAAAATGGGAAAAAGGGAGGAGGAGCAGAAGTCTCTTCCAGAAGATGCAGGGTGGTTTCCATCCACCTGGCGTGCACAGAGGCGGTGGTGTGACGTTCCCCTGTGCTTATTCAATCCAGGGCTCTGTGCTGAAGCCCCCAAGGCTCTTGGTGCCATTTAGAGAGGGGTTCTGCAGGGTGGTTTTCTGAGCAAGCATCTTGCCTGGGAATCTCGGGTTGTCTGGTGGGCATGCAGTCATTTCCCCTTCAGACTGCTTGGTAAGAGGGAGATACAACTCTTTGGGTTATTATGGTCATTGGGTGTGCACTTTGGGCATCTGCCTTCCTTACTACCAAATAATGCATGCTTTCTTTGATCTCTTGAAAAATGGCATGGAAAGACAGAACGTGACCATCTGCAGGTGTGTGCATGTGTGCTCTGAGGAGGGGTGGGGTGGTCCCCCATGCTCCCACTCAGCATCGTCTTATCCCGGGTGACTAAGCAGTTGAAGGAAGAGGCCTGAGGTCATTTATCAGCAGCATCGTGGGTAGCAACATTCTCAGGATGATTCCCAGTGGAAGGTCTCCAAGTGGTCCTAACGAATGGCCCCACAGGAAACCCCAAGTGGCAGGTGTTATGGACGTTCTCCAGAAGTTGTGCGAGCCAGAGGGTCTCTCCGCTCTGGGGGACTCGGTGGTGGTGGTCTTCACGCTCAACCAAGAATCTTAATGTGAATCATTCCTTCATGGTCCGAAATTACAGGAATTTCAACTCTCACGAAAGGCGAATGAGGTCATCCCATCACAAAATGCAAGTGACAACCATACGGTAGGTTGAGAAGTTTTCAGTGAGGATGATCGTTGCAAAGTCCACTGAGAGCCACGCGCAGGGCTGGTGCAAGGCCTTTCCTAACGAATGCTCGACAACTGCCACCACCTTTCCTCTTACCCACAAAACCTCTAAAGATTATTACTAGCATCTTGCCATTCTCCCTATGATCATTTCTACTCTCACCTGAAAGTTGTATGTTCTAGTCCGGCTAGCGAGCCCAACGGCTGGGGACATTGACTAAATCCCTTGACCGCCGTGAGTTTCATTTTCCTTACCAGAAATGGGGTAACAATTTCCCTTCCAATTATTTTACTGGGTTTGGCGAGGCGTAAGTGTAGAGGTGATTTGGAAACAAGCTACGAAATCAGGTGCATGTTTATATTCAAGTCCACTCATTGGTGTCTATAGATGATCCAAACTCCACAGTTTTGCCTCTGTTCTGCAGCATTTCTTAGTATTTATCAGAATATTTAGTAAGATTGTTTTTTTTTAAGAGATGGGCATTGTGTACGTGTATGTATATGTGTACATGTGTGTATACTGCTCACCCTGTATGTGATGGTTCACTGACTGGCCGTGGGGTGCCCAAATTAACCACTGGCTCCG